GCCCGGGGCGCCCGGGGCGGCGGGGAGCGGTGCGCGGTCCGGGACCTGCAGCGGGGCTGCGGTGGTGAAAGAGCCGCGAAGGGTTTTTTCTTTTTCTTTCCGTTTTTAAGGCGGCTCCGAGCTGCGGTGTGCTGGCCCTGCGTCGCAGCCTTCAGCTGCGAACCGGATTGTGCAATTTAGAAGGAAAAAAAGGGTATTGGTTTGTTTTGTGGCTTAAATTGTTTATATTTTAAACTTCCTAATCCCTTTGACCATCTGGAAGAGCTTTTTTTAGTATTGTTAATTATTGATAGTATCGGGGTCATGTAGGCACTTGATAACGTAGCTCCGTCTCTCCTGGGACTAATACTAGTTCACAGATATTTTACAGCTTTTTTTTCCCCTCTGTGATTAAGACAGTGGCAAAGCTCTTCTTCAGAGTAAGGATGAAATATTTAAGGAAAGCACGCTGTGTGGTTGGGTAACACACGTTTTGAAAAGTCATTATTTTTAGTTGTGCCTAGGCCCTGCCTCCTTGTAGGCAGGGGCTGCTGGGTTTTGTTGTTGTTGCTGTTGTTTTAATCTTATGTTTTCTTAATTCTGCATCATTCTCAGTCGTTGCACATCTAGACAACTTAAACAGGTCCAAGAGAATTATTTTTAGGCAGGCAAGTCAGTTTTTAATCTTGCTGCTTTGGAACGTATCAATTTTAAAAACTAGAGTCTAAACCCGATTTTAATTCGGAGCGTATGGCCGTGCTGGAGCAAGGGCAGGGGACCATGCAAAAAGCTTTATTTTTCTTTAGTTGGATTAGAGAAAGCTGATCACTTGGGAAGACGCCGGTTAAACTCGGAGTCGATCTGCAAACCGTGTGGACGTGGGTAGCGCGATGGAGACCCTTGTGCCTGGTACAGCAGCTGCAAAATGCTGTTTCGGCTAACGGGGCCACATTTTGGTGCAGTGGGCTTTTGTTCCAAACTCTTTGTGCAACAACTGGCTGGAGTGAAGGATCAGGCCCCGTCGCCCGTCCTCCCTGTGCCGCACAATGGAGCGGGGCGACGATCTCGCAGCGTCCCTCGTCCCTCGGCCGACTCCTGGCCGCGCTTGGCGGGGCCGGCGCTGGGTCCTGTGGGATGTGGGTGCTGTGGGGCGCAGGGCTGGGTGTTGTGAGGAGGAGAGGCAGGGCTGGGGGGAGAGGGGCTCCCAGCCTCTCCGGGAGAAGTTGCATTTCGCAGATGAGTTTTTGATATGCAAATGGTGATCGGTCCCAGTCCGCGGAAGGGAAGGGTGATGGGTTTCATCAGCTGCACACTCTTGATTTATACCTACAGGAAAAAGAGCAACTGATGACTTCTGGGTTTTTTTTATGAGGGTTCTCTTTTGACTGAACTCAATCAGTGTGGAATAAGAGACTGAGTTTCAAATTTAATTACTGGAAAGGGAGAGCAAAGCTGAGATGTGCTGGCCATTTCTCTGTCGCAGCATTTCTCCTCTTTTCTTTTCAATACTCGCTCAGTGCTTTTTAAAATGTGACCGCACTCTGTGTGTCTCCGTAAGTAGAACATCTTTTTACAGTACAGAGAATAAGGTTGCAGGCAGCCTCTTTCCTCCCCCCCCCCTTTTTTTTTTTTAAAGGACTTGAGGAGGCTTGTCCATTTAAATTAACCTTTATCCCAGCTGGGCACACAAATGTTTTTGTTTTAGTTCACAGAGGGTTAATTCTATTCAAGCTCTCACCATGGCCAGCCTGATCTGGGGCAGCACAATCTGCTCTTTGAGCCCGGCCTGGCCAGGCAGGACACTGGTGCCTTCGCCCGCGTTCAGCATGGAGCTGGGACCCCCATCTGCGGGGTCGATGGGGGAGCGGGACACCCTGGCCCATTGTGCACCCAGCGATGGGCTCGGCCGCCGAGGTCGCTGCTGTCCCAGGGAGGGGCCATCGAACAGAAAAATTAATCCCTGTGTTCATCGATTATAAGTTAAAGAAAAGCCCCTTAAGCAAACGCGCCTGGTTTTGAGGGTGGGCTTGCTTGGACAATGCAGCACTCCGCGGTGAGGGGGGAATCACCCCAGTTCTCTGTACTGAATTTAACAAGATGTTTTTCTTGAAACTAAAGATTGACTATGAAAAAAATCATTAGGAAAGATAAGGGGAAAAAGAAACCCTTAAGACGTTTGTTTGTGTTTGAGGCAGCATCAGAGGCAAGAGGCGAGCGAGATTTTGTTAGGATTTAAGTAACACATGTGTGAGATCTCCTGCTCCCCCTCCCCAAACAGCTGGTATTTAGCAGCTTGAGATTGAAACCCAGCTAAAGGGTACTGTGGGGTGTGTGAGATAGGGTGAGTTAATCATGAAACAAATAAATGATTTAGTTGAAAAGATGTTAAATATATTAATGAATTGCAGTGCTGAGTGTCATCTGTAATCTTTTTTCAGCTGTAAAAGATTTTCTTAGCTGTAAATCACGTTCTGTTGTTTAAATGGGAAGTTTTGCAAACTGCAGCTTTCTGCGTCCTCCGTCTTGCTTTTCAGAGGACCAAATCCCAGCACCGTCTGCTCTGGGGCTTTGGGTGAGGGTTGGTGCCTTCACTTTTGGCCTCACTCTAGGAAATAAAGTCTTTGTTTCTGCTCCGTTATAAAGCACCGACGTTACAAGTCACGGAAGCTGGCTGCGCCGGCACTCGGTCTTATTTCCAAGGTAGATCTCTCACAGGGAGCTGTAGGCGCTGTATGGTTTTAAACTGCTTCTGCCAGGGTGGGTGCGATCCTTCTCGCAGCCATGGGGAACTGCCCAGATGAAGCCAGCATCTGGTCCCCTCCAGGAATGCGGCCGTGCTGCCCGCCCGCTCTCGGAACACCGAAGGCGCTTCCCCATAGCCTGCTCGGGGCGGTTGTCTGCAGGAGTGATACAGGTGGGAGCACCGATGGAGGCTTGCTGAACGCTGGACGTCTGTCCCGATA